AATTTGGCCTGCCCAAGAATATATCGCTCGCCATTACGGGCACTGTAGTATTCGTTATTTGTTAGAGAATCTGTAATCCTGTAATCACTGGTTAGCACACCCTGAATCACAGTCACGTGATAACACCTTTATATTTCTGTACATAGATTAGTTTTGTTCAGTTCTAATAACGCAGTTGTGTAAAACACTTGTCCCGATTCATTGCGTACTCTATAGTAGTACTCTGAACCCAAATACACAACAAGCACTTTGTTATAAAGGGGCACAGTCACTAAGCCGGGGTTCAAACTTGCGACTCCACAAGATATCACACAAAGCAATTTTATTCCGTTCTTTATTGCGTGGTTAAGGGTAGAACTACATTAAAAAGATCGACACTTTCCACCACTACACGTTACATTTTTCTGTGAATACCGGTTCCTCAGGTAGGGCCTCTCGGGGATATCTGTGCAAATAGAAGAGAGAGATTACTGGCCTTCTATGACCCAACCATATCGTGATTTTCGTTGTGAAAATACCACTTTTAGACCGCTAAAACATGTGCATTTACTGTGTCTAGAGGCGTGCAAAAAGATACTTCAAACTGATCATTTTGTAGTTTTTTTGTTTTGATTTTGTTTTTGCTTTTTTGTTTTGTTTGATCTGCAAGCTGACAGACCTGACAGAATCTACAATGCATTTTGTGTAAAGGTTAATTACAGTTAGAAAAGAGTCAGCAAATTGTATAGTGCGATCTCAAAATGTTTTAGCCTGGTGGGGGGGGGGGACTTCCATGTAAAAAGAACGGTGCTCATCGTACCTTTCAGGGGTTACAAAAGCCGCGGTCTTGGTACCTCTTAGAGTTTTCAGCCTCAAAAGGTCAACATCGGGAGCTTTTGCACAATGCTTTGTTTTAGAATTGGTACCTCTGTAGGGGAAAAAAATTAAAGCCACGCCCGCAAAACAAGATCTTGGTACGAGGAGCATCCCCGTCCTTTTTTATACGGGAGTCCCCCCCCCCCGGGGGGTCTCAGCTTTGCTTTTCTGAAAATACATATAGGTCTTGTCTAATTGATCATTAACTATCATCCCGAAAAAAAACCATTTGTGGCAACTGTACAAAAATCTTAGTCAGCTCATGCTATAAAAACCGGAGTAAGTTCCGACTGTTTTAGTCCACTAGAGAGTGTAGATGATGTTAAATAATAACTGAGGACAGATCATGGGTTCCTGCTGAGGACTTTTCAATATTTTCACTTTTAGCTGAGAAGTGACTTGTTTTGTTAACTGATAGTGAGATCTGAAATCCGCAAAATTCACTGATACCTGACGATTGGCTTGAGAAACTTGAACTGAGAACTGAGAAATCGCCGAAAATTTAACTGAGAACGGACCAGACCCTCCTAGCCTAACAAGGCACCCTGACGTAGAATTGAACAAATTACTGTGATAAAGTGAGTTCGTAATCTAGACTATGAGTACTCCATCGATTACTTTTCCTCAGGTTAGTCCGAGAGTGTGTCAACCAACCTCATTTCTTACAAATTAGGAACCCAGGTTGTGGCCGACCCCCTGAGGTTACTCGAGCGTGCGCGCTTGAAAATCACTGAGCCCTCGCGCGTCACATCTTCTCGTGGGAGATGACGCTGACACGCGCTAGCGTGCTCTCAACCCCTAGGAAAGATATATATGAAGGAGGGCTTGTAGGTTAGGCTTATTTTGGTATTGAATCCGTACCTCCTATCTGTGTAGGTATCACATTTCAAAGTAGGTGCAGCAGACTGTGCTTGGTCCGCAGTTTCCAGGTGTTTGCACATAGCTTCCTCCCGCGTCACTCCCATAACAGTTAGCGAGGGTAGAACACCAGCTCATCTCCTGACAGACACCAGGCGCGCGTTTCTCATTTTCGAGCATCATCATATAGTCTGTGTAAAACAGATGTGGACTGAATAAACTCAGAACTATTGACTGAGTAAATGAACAAAGCACCAGCGTGAGTTTTACTGTCGTTTTCACCTAGGAAAGTTCTTCACATCTTTTATACAACTTCTGATGAATTCCGTTTGAAACCGTGCCAATCAAACTGCGAAAAACTTAGTAAATCGAATGACACCAGTTCACGAAAATACTCTTAGTTCAGTGAACAGGATCATTCGCGCGAACTGCAGTTATGTAACAACTGGTCAGTCGGGAATTACAGGTTGGTAGCAGATATTCCTATTAACCACTACCTTTGTAATTTAGTTCCAAAACTCACCAAAGTACGTAGTCTTCGTAGTATCAGAAACTCTTCTCAATTTCGGCTATTACAAGCTTACCTCTTCGGAAAAGTCCCGCAAAAGGATTTCGAGGTTTGCATGTTGCAATAGTGACCATCGCCAACACAAAGCAAAGAATCAGCAGTTTTCCAGCCATTGTTTTTTGTCAAGCTGACAAAAAGAAGAAACACAAACAATAATTGATTAAAGTTTGTCCTTTGGTTGACCCTTTTACAATCGCTTGAATTCTCGTTTGCAGTGATCCGGGAATACTT